GGTCTCCTGCCTGGAGAGCAGGGTTCGAGGCCGCGCGGGGGGACACAGGCGGGTCTTTTCATGGGGTGCGACGACAGTTTGGGGCTCCGCTACCTAGGGTCTGGTGCAGCGCATTCGCATCTCCCGCCGTGACGAGCGCATTCACGCGCTACGTTCCTTCGGCGACCTCCTCCATCGCCTTTGCTGCTCCGCTGTTGCGCCACGTGTCTGCGGGCGTCCCTCTCGTCGCCAACTCTTTCCCGTCCTTCTGCCCGCTGCGGGGGTCCAGTTGTCGGCGCTTCGACATTCCTTCTTTGCGTTCTGCGTTAGCAAGTGGCCGCCGTGGTCTGCGCTCAGCCCTTGTCGAATAGTCGCGCCATCGTCGAAGAACTGCGCGTCGTCCAAGACTTGTGCCCCGTCAGAGAGCTGCGCCATCGTGTGCGCTGTGCCCTCGTTAAGGTAAAGTGGTTTTCTGCTTGCGCGCTTGTCAGTCGTCGCACATGCTTGCCGGCGCATGGAAGCAGCCGCATTGCGCCACGTGTCGCAAGTCGCGGGGACGACGGGAACGGATATCGATGGCATTAGGGCACATGGTTTCTGTATGCCCTGTTGCTTCCCACTCGTTCGTTCCTCGCGAGCGCCCCCTTGACTCTTGCTTACCATCATCATCATGATCATCATCATCATCACCATCATCATCATCATCATCATCGTCGTCATCGTCATCATCATCATCGTCAACCTCCTCATCATCAACGTCATCATCATCATCATCATCATCATCGTTGTCATCATCATCAACACCATCATGATCATGATCATCATCATCATCCTCATCATCATCAACGACATCATCAACACCATCATCATCATCATCACCGACATCGTCGTAGTCATCAACAACGCCACCGTCCTCGTCATCATCATCATCATCATCATCATCATCATCTTCATCAACACCCTGATGATCATCATGTCATCATCATCATCGTCTGCATCGCAATCAGCATCATCATCATCTTCATCAACACTCTGATGATCATCATGTCGTGGCACGTGTCGCAAGTGGCGGGGATGGAGGGAACGGATGACGAAGACATTGGGGCACACGGTTGCTGTGTTCCCTTCTGCTTCCCTCTCGCTCGTTCCACGCGATCGTCCCCATGATTCCTGCTTGGGTTGGCGATGGGCCAGATGGTTTCTGTATTTCGTTCTCTTCGCACTCCTTCGTTCCTCGCGAAAGGCCCCATGATTCCTTCTTCGCTTGGCATTGAAGACGAGCCAACTGAACATTACAAAACACTCCCACGTGGTTGCCATACTGAACATTGCAGAACACTTCCGCGTGGTTGAGGCAAACACGAAATCGCCTTTTTCCAGCAGAACACGAGATCCCAACGACAAACGTTCCTCACACGTATGCTTTTCTCGACAAACAGTTCAGAGGTTGTTTAACACAAAGGAGATGCATTGGGCTGCAAATCCACGACTGATGGTTCAAATCCCTCGCAGGGCCAACAGTGGTCGCAGCGGGTGTGCTGAACGACCAGCGGGCGCCACATGGGCTGCGCGCGACGAGGGTTGGAATTAAGTATCGCGCGGTGGCCACTGTGCGAACGATGTCCACCGTCCACGTGGTGTGCAGTGAGAGGAATGGTGTTCATCAACAAGAGGGGGTCGTCGTTCCGTTTTCATGTTCTCGTCACAACACTTGTGCCTCCCTCCCCGGAGAGACTACGACGTCAATCCCGGGAGAGCTGGTGTCGTCTCCATCCCGCGCACACAACGTGCACATGATCCACCATAGAGGCCACGAATGTTGAGCGCGTGTGCCTGGCGTAGGTAATGAGGGACGTGACAACAAATTGCGTAGGACAAACGCCAGTTTTGTGCGCGCAACATCCGCGGGGTCCAGGACGAAGAATGCACACGTTGCGTGCGCGCGATGGAGAACGACAACACCGTTCGCTGCAATGAAAATGTCGTTTCTTCGGCGTGAGCGCCGCATGTTTCGTGACGAGAACCTCAACATGAAAAAACGACCTCGTTCAATAACGAACAACCCGACCACCTCCGGGACACATCTTATTCGTCGGGGAACTGGGGGTCGCCATTGTGACTGCAGGCGCAAAACCAACATCCGCCAAACATAAAAAGGCAAGTCGCGTGTTGTTGCCTGGCGAGATGGGAAGTTCGGATACCGGCGAACTACAGCAATCATGCGTAGTGCTCACACGAAAGTGGTATTGTGTTGCCGTCGCGCAGCCGTTGGGAGAGCACGCACCTCTGAGAAAACAGCGCATGATTGTTGTAGTTCGTCGGCATCCGAAGTTCCATTTTCGCCAGGTTTTCACACGTAACTCAACGTTTTTTTTGGCAGTTGTTGGTTTCGCATTCGCAGTCACAATGTCGTTCCCGGGTGCCCTGGTGACTAGCTATTGCGAGAAATTTTCCAGCTTCAGGGCCTGGGGCCGATAGTTCAGAACGCCCTGCCAGTTGTCACCGTGCGAGGGCGACAACACGAAGTTCGGATCCCGGCGGACTTGCGATCTGAAGCATGTGAAGTCGTGAGCTGCTTGGATGGTCATTGTTGTTTCGACCGCATCGCTGAAATCACACACTTGTTGTTTGCATGGATCTTTACGGAGTCCTGGGTACATGACTGTTCTTTGGGTGGCGTTCCCGCAAAAAAAAACGTCCTGTCACTGGGACCCCAGCAAAAACAAAGTTTGTCATGCTCCCGGTCGACACGCAGCAACAGATGTCAAGTTCGGATCCGGTCAGACTTCGGGGTCGGCACCCGTTAGTGGTCCCTAAGTGGAACCGAGGGCAAGTTCGGATCTCGCTGGACTTCGAGATTCGACTAGAATCTAACCGACCATTTCCGACGGCCTGGCCTTTCGCATGTGTTGTGCTCGCCAGAGACGTTTGGGTGCGCAAAAGTGCCAGCCTGTCGAATTGCCTCGTTGGGGTTTGAGGGGGTTGCCGACGGTGGTGTCGTCATCGGCATGCGTGCAATCGGGCCACCGACATTCCCGTGTCTTCGCACGCATCGCGGTTCGCGCTATCATATGTCGACGTTCGCAGAGAGCGAGTCGGGCCTCGCCTTCTTGACTGGACGAATCGTCATTAGATGGGGTTGAAGGGGGGGCCACCAGCCATGGTGATTTCTTTTGGTGGGTCGCGTCATTGTCATCACGGATCACAACATTTGTGACTCAATCGCCGCACAAGCTCTCGCTTTGTCGGTGGGGAGAATCGACGTCTATGGGGGTCTGTTGGGGGCCGCGCTGCGCCGATTTCTGACGTGGTGCACCTACGACTACCATTTCTGTTGTATTTCTGTTGTGTGTGCTCTCGTCGAACAGACACTTGCGAACAGCAGTAGGGCCTCCCTGACCAGGCACACACGCATAACGTTCCTTCTGTGCACTTCAACACCCATCCTCAAGATAATGGCCATCCCCCGCACAAACCGGTTCCTCGCTAGTCCAACAAACGCCAAGTTTGGATCCCGGAGGACATTGAGGTCCCGCGAAAAATTCAACCGCCAAATTCGAATCCCGACGAACTTTGAGGCTCCGCGTGAATCTGACCGTTGTTTTCAACAGCTTCGACTTCCCCGTCCGTCTTTAATGCCGGCGGCCTGGTGGTGCGCAAAGGTGTTCGCCTTGTGAATGGCCCTAAAAGGGATTCATTGGGGTTGACGATGGTGTCGGTGGCCGAGTCGATTTCCTTTGTGCCCTCTAATAAAAGTCATTCTAAATTTTTCGTGTCTGCGCTGTGTGCATGTCCGAGTTCGACAACCTCCTGTGCTAGTACATCTGATTAGACGGTGTTGATAATCGGTGTTTATAGGGGTCAGTTTGGGGTCGCGCTGCGCTGAAATGAGTGGTGGTGCATCCACCATTACCCTTTCTTCTGCGCGTGCTATCGCACAACGAAAACTTGAGAGCGGCAGAGCCTTCCTTCTGTGCGCCCAGACATAGTTTTACTTATGTGCACCCGCTGGCGCTCCCTTCCACTGGTATCGGCCGCGCAATAACAGGTTCCTGGCTGCTCCAGCTCCCGCCAAATTCGGATCCCGGCGGACTTTGAGGCTACGGGTAAATCGGACCGTTATTTTCGACAGCTTCGACTTCCCTGTCCGTCTTCAATGCCGGCGGACTGGTAGTGCGCAAAAGTGCTCCCTTTCGAATTTGCCCTAAAAGGGGTTTATTGGGGTTGACGACGGTGTCAGTGGCCGGGTCCTTTTCCTGTGTGCCATCGATCTTCGTTGCCCTCCAATAAAAGCAGTTCTAAATTTTTCGTGCCCGCGCAGTGTACATGTCCGAGCTCGACAACCTCTTGTGCTAGTGCATTTGATTAGACGGTGGTGAGAATCGGTGTTTATAGGGGTCAGTTTGGGGTCGCGATGCGCCGAATTGTGTTGGGGTGCATCCACCATTACCCTTTCTTCTGCGCGTGCTATCGTACAACAAAAACTTGAGAGCGGCAGAGCTTTCCTTGTGTGCGCCCAGACATAGTTTTACTTATGTGCACCCGCTGGCGCTCCCTTCCACTGGCACCGACCGCGCAAAAATAGGTTTCTGGCTACTCCAACACCCTCCAAATTCGGATCCCGGCGGACTTTGAGGCTTCATGTAAATCTGACCGTTATTTTCAACAGCTTCGACTTCCCCGTCCGTCTTCAATGTCGGCGGCCTGGTAGTGCGCAAAACTGCTCGCCTTTGAAATTGTCGTAAAAGAGGTTTATTGGGGTTCGCGACGGTGTCAATGGCCGGATCCATTTCCTGTATGCCATCGATCTTCGTTGCCTTCCAACAAAAACCATTCTAATTGATTCGTGTCTGCGCAGTGTACATGTCCGAGTTCGACAACCTCTTCTGCTAGTACATCTAATCACACGGTGGTGAGAATCGGTGTTTATAGGGGTCAGTTTGGGGCCGCGATGCCCGGAATTGTGTGGTGGTGCATCCACCATTACCATTTGTTCTGCGCATGCTATCGTACAACGAAAACTTGAGAGCGGCAGAGCCTTCCTTGTGTGCGCCCATACATGGCGTTCCTTATGTGCACCCGTTGGTGCTCCCTTCCACTGGCACCGGCCGCGCGAAAACAGGTTCTAGGCTACTCAAGCACGCGCCGAATTCGGATCCCGATGAACTTTGAGGCTCCGCATAAATCTGACTGTTATTTTCAACAGCTTCGACTTCCCCGTCTGTCTTCTATGACGGCGGCCTGGTAGTGCACAAAAGTGCTCGCCTTGTGAATTGCCCTAAAAGGGGTTTATTGGGGTTGACAACGGTGTCAGTGGTCGGGTCCATTTCCTGAATGTCGTCGATCTTCGTTGCCTTCCAATAAAAGTCATTCTAATTGATTCGTGTCTGCGCAATGTACATGTCCGACTTCGATAACCTCTTGTGTTAGTACATCTGATTACACGGTGGCGAAAATCGGTGTTTATAGGGGTCGGTTTGGGGTCGCGATGCGCCGAATTGTGTGGTGGTGCATCCACCATTACCCTTTCTTCTGCGCATGCTATTGTACAACGAAAACTTGAGAGTGGCAGAGCCTTCCTTGTGTGCGCCCATACATGGCGTTCCTTATGTGCACCCGCTGGCGCTCCCTTCCATTGGCACCGGCCGTGCGAAAACAGGTTCCAGGCTACTCAAGCACCTGCCAAATTTGGATCCCGGCGAACTTTGAGGCTCCGCGTAGATCTGATCGTTATTTTTAACAGCTTCGACTTCCCCGTCCGTCTTCTATGACGGAGGCCTGGTAGTGCACAAAAGTGTTCGCCTTGTGAATTGCCCTAAAAGGGGTTTATTGGGGTTGATGACGGTGTCAGTGGCCGGGTCCATTTCCTCTATGCCGTCGATCTTCGTTGCCTTCCAATAAAAGCAGTTCTAATTGATTCATGTCTGCGCACTGTACCTGTCCGACTTCGACAACCTCTTATGCTAGTACATCTGATTACACGGTGGCGAGAATCGGTGTTTATAGGGGTCAGTTTGGGGTCGCGATGCGCCGAATTGTGTGGTGGTGCATCCACCATTACCCTTTGTTCTGCGTGTGCTATCGTACAACGAAAACCTGAGAGCGGCAGAACCTTTCTTGTGTGCGCCCAGACATAGCGTTCCTTATGTGCACCCGCTGGCGCTCCCTTCCACTGACACCGGCCGCGCGAAAACAGGTTCCTGGCTACTCGAGCTCCCGCCAAATTCGGATCTCGGCGAACTTTGAGGCTCCGCGTAAATCTGACCGTTATTTTCAACAGCTTCGACTTCCCCGTCCGTCTTCAATGACGGCGGCCTAGTAGTGCGCAAAAGTGCTCGCCTTGTGAATTGCCCTAAAAGGGGTTTATTGGGGTTGACGACGGTGTCAGTGGC